AAAATTATCATTGCATTTCATTTTCCCAAAAACTGGTTGAGGAAAAAATGGCGCAAACCATGTGTGCTATCCACCAAGCAGAATGCCATGCATAGATAATGCATACCAGAATTTAGTATCACTAAGGGTGGAGGATAACACCAAGCCCCACCTTGTACCATGTGATGCTATTTTATAGTTTGACAAGTATGAACGAAAGGCTGTTGTCGGAAAACAAACAGTTAAAATAAGGAGGAAAACAAACAATTAAAATAAGGAGCAATTTGCAAGCCAGAAGGCTCTATTGGTAATGGCGGTGTCAAAACTGCAGGCTATTAGTCTCCAAATACTATACCAAGACTCCAGATGTATATACATTCCATAAACAGTGAATTGATACGCAGGATGGATGAGACCTTCTCCACCTCCAAGGAAACTACTACACCCTAAAAAAGATGATCCGGTTTTGGTTAGGCAAATTGGGACGGTATATTCTTCAATGAAACTGTGCCCACCTCTGCAGAAAAAAAGATGGGCTTCTCTCAATTGTTAATGGCTTTTTACCCATGCTGCAACACAGCTCAGGGGACAAAAGGAGCAAGAAGGAATCTTGTCTGCACCTTTCTTGCCTCCTAACTGGGTCAACAGAAGGTCGACCTTTTATGTGACCAAATCATCTAAGATGACTCTCTCTAATCTTATTTACCACTGTAGCGACTTGATCTTAGACCAAGTAATGCTAAAATTTTCACCAAGGTTTAAGCAATGCCTCATCCTCGTGCAACCGAATCACAAATCAATTCAGATCCTTACCAACTCTTTAGCTGAACTCACTAATTAAATCAATTAATGTGATGATAAAAGAGTACTAAGCAGCTTGTGCCCAAACTTATACAACTTAACGCCTACATGACTCAAACTAAACTTAGCTTAATATCTGAAGTTGGATCAGCAACTCAAACTAAACTTAGCTTAATATCTGAAGTTGGATCAGCCTGAACCTGGAGATTCATATTCTGACATTAAGGCTCATTTTGATTATATATGTATAAGTAACCCATACCAATCAAGTTCCTCAACCTTCTTGCCGTATCAATCTTTCATTCAAAAATATCGTTCGCAGAATTTATTTTGATAACAAAACTTGTTAATTATTAGATAATATATAACACCTTGATTTGAATAAACGGGTGAGACTATAGAATCATGCTATGTAGTGGCAGAGCCAGAAATTTTGTTCAGCGGGGCCTAACGAAAGCCGTTCTCGAGGTTGTGACTCGTGAGTCGCGAGAGAAGAGTAAAGGGGAAAACGAATCATTGATGCTTTTCATGTGTCCAGAAAAAAATTTTAGTGGCTTCTCTGGATTAATAAATAGCTTTAAAAGAAAGAATTACACAAATTAGCGCAGGATTTCTAGTTGGAAAAATTGTTGCTCTATTAAGCCACCAAAACAATCAGTTTTAAGCCACTTTAGGCTTTCAGTTTTAGCTTTAGTATGGAAGTGGTGACAGGAGCTGAATATACATAGCATTGATTTAGTTGGGTGCGCTGTCATGAGTGCGCGGCTGCAGCATTTTTGTTGCGCAAAAAAAATGAGGAAAAGCAAAACCCTTCACAGTAATTAATTAGATCATTAGCTATGCAAAAATAATTAAATAATTGGGTGATAATTTAATATTTAATAATTAACATTAGATAATAAATAATTAGTTAACGATAAAATTTTTAATAAAATTATATTTAAATAGTTAAATATTATAAATAATAATTAATCAAATAGCCCTACAACTCTACGTCAAAATTTATTTTCATCATTCTTTCCATAATGGAAAGTCATTCCTCCCTCTCCCTTTCAATATTTTACCACATTAGTCTTTCTCTCTCTACAGCTTTAAGCATTGCATGGTTTGAGTAGAAAGTGAATTGAAGATTTAAAATGGAAAAAACTTGTAAAAAAAAAAAGGAAAGCTGATAACTTTTTTACATGAGCTGCTAAACATGCATTATCAACTTTTTCCTGCTCTCCTAAGTAATGTAAAAATTGTTTTTAGGAGGGGGGGGGGGGCATGGGCCCCTGCTGCCCCCTCCGCCCTTGCCTCTT